CCGAAACCTTGCCTTTCAAAAGCTCATCTCGTCCAGACTGGACCTGCCAAGGTCTTACTAGCACCTCTAGAGGGATTCGGTACCGAGTCGTAAGTATCGTGGCAACGTTACCACTCCACTACATGGCCACAGGTGTTAATGAGTCACATGGCAGATACGACATTCAGGGTAAGCCGAAAATCTCCCAACTCACATTTATAGTGGGATTGTCAATTAACTAAACATGTGTTTGCCATTGCTATCGACGACGTCACTTAATTTTTATGTGATTAGCCAGGCCTATCCCAACACACGCACTTGTTATTATTTAAAAATTACCCAAATCAAGATTAAGTAACGTCGTCGAATGCAATGGCATACAAATGCTTTTGCTTGATCGAAAATCCGAGTTAGAAGAGTCGTCGATTGCCGTAAATGTAACAACCACTGGAGCCTGTGGTCGAATACTGGAGTGACAGAGTCTCCAGGATAGCCACAATCCGGTATCGAATCCCACTGGGGAGATGGTGAGATCGAGGCGAGGTCGAGCCTGCGGTCCAGCCTGAATGAGATAACGTTTTGGAAGCGAGGCTAAGGGAAATTCAATAACTTTGTGATGCCTATTCATCAGCTATCCGTCTATAATTCACGTTAAACGACCGAGGCTGGACAAGTTATTCATCATGCATTAATGATATTGTTGAGAGCTACCGCAGAAATTGACCAAGAAGTAAATGAAACCTGTTGATGTAACAACGAAATTACCTCCTTTATGGCCGTTGCTGCAAAGAAACTGGGGAAGATGACTAGAATAGGAGCTGATTTTTGCTTAGCAGAATGGCAAAAATGGAGGAACTCAAATTTAGAATATAAACTCACATCAACATCATCTGAGGGAGCTGCTGAATAGACGACCATAGACCTTGACAACCGTCTAAATCCTTCTTCCAGCTTGGCCGGGGCAACTGGGTCGTCGGATAAGAAACGTTTGATTCCGGATCTTGTGGCTCCTTCGGGCCTGGCTTCATCTGCCGACAACCTAGATTTGCCGTTTGGTAGCAGATCACACCATTGAAGGCTAGTGAGATCACCAGTTGACGAGGCCCTTCTTTTGTCAGGGGGGGTCTTGAAGAGATTCACCATTGCGCTTATTAGATGGTAGAGACAACTTGCGGCAAATGATTCCAGGGGATCCGTGAGCCTGAGCTCAATGAGTGACATGTCCCTTTTTCTCTCATGCCGTGCTCGTGTGTGTAGTATAAAGGCTTATATACGGTCGCCTACTGTCTGCGCCTGACTCGCCCGTCTCTTCGGCCAAGGCCCAGGAAACCAGACAAAATAATTTCCGGTGTAGCATGGATTAAGTTCAACTGTCTGAAAGAGGCGCAACTCACCCAGACGGCACAATAAAGTCTTCCAGACAAGAGGGGCTCGTGCAAAACTGACACACCTGACTCGACGCCCACCAGGATGCTCTCCCCTGGGTACCGGGCCAAGCTGTAGGAGAGCCGAGCGACAGCAACTGTGACGTGTGAAAAACGATCCTTTGCGTCTGTACACGAGTAACAGGGCCCAGGCGAAAGAACACGAGATCGGTGTAAGTCGTTTCTCGCCCAGTCGCCGCATATATAGGCGTGTCTTGACCACTTGCCGTAGCAACAGGCAAAAGGGACCCAAAGATTGACGTCCAACCGACCTCGCCTGTCTCTACGACAAAAGGGAGTGCGGACACAGCAGGCAGGCTAGAGACGAGAGAGGCACAAACTCACCTAAACGAACGCATTACTGCGCGCATGCATACATGACAATGAATAAAGCCCATCAGCTGATTCTTGTCTCCGCATGCTAACGAATATGATGATGCTTCCGCCCTACCCTATATGTGCACACATACATATATATATATATATATACACACGCAGAGTCATATATCTATCCTTTGCCAGGCTTGCTGTAGTTGGGTCCGGCCATGCCATCTCAAATGAAAC